AATAAATAAATAAATAAACAAATAAATAAATAAATAAATAAATAAATAAATAAATAAATAAATAAATAAAGAAGGGAAACAGAGAAAAGAACGGAGACAGAAACAAAGAGAAATAAAAAAGACAAAAGATAGAAAGAAACACAAAAATAGAGAAAAAAAGAAAGAATAAATAACAAATAAATAAAATAAATAAATAAATAAGTAAATAAAAAATAAAAAAAATAAAAAAAAAAATAAATAAAGAGAAAGAGTTGACTTACCTTGCTCGCCTCGTGAGCTGCCTATACACCTGAAGTGCTGCAGCCTGCACTGCAGCAGAACGATCCTCAAGCAGCTGCTGCAGCAGCGCATGCAGCTGCTGCTGCTGCTGCTGCTGCAGCAGCGGGTACTGCAGCAGCTGCTCCTCGCTCCCATATTGCAGCAAACTCGCCAGTACTAAGCACGCACTCTGCAGCAGCAGCAGCAGCAGCAGCAGCAGCAGCAGCAGCAGCAGCAGCAGCAGCAACGGTTTCTCATGCAACACCGCATGCAGCAGTAGCAGCAGATGCAGCAGCAAGAAGACAAACGGAAGATACAGCAGCAGCAGCAGCAGCAGCAGCAGGTGCAGCAACAGCAACAGCAGCAGGAGCAACACGCACAGCAACAGCAACAACACCAGCAGCTACAGCAGCAGCAGCAGAAGCACCACCACCACCAACACCACAACCACCAGCATCAGCATCAGCAGCAGCACCAGCAGCAGCAGCAGCACCAGCAGCAGCAGCAGCAGCAGCAGCAGCAGCAGGAGAGTTTACAGTTCGTGTCTCTGTCTGAAAGTCAGCTGCTGCATCAATGACGAACTCCTGCAGCAGCTGCTGCGTTTGGGGTGTATGCGCAGCTGGGGCGAGGAGACAGCCTAGGACTCTGCATGCAGCAACTTGCTGCTGCTCGTCTCTTGCTGCTGCTGCTGCTGCCCAGCATGCAGCAGCAACGTCCCGCTGCAGCGCAGCATCTTCTATCGGCTCGCGCGCGTTCAGCAGCACCTCCTGCACCACCTGTATATACACACCAGCAGCAGCAGCAGCAGCAGCAGCAGCAGCAGCAGGTAAGACAGCAAGCATCTGTGTGGTATAGGCAGCAGCAGCAGCAGCAATAGCACTAGCAGCAACAGCAGCAGCAGCAGCAGCAGCAACTGCACTAGCACCAACAGCAGCAGCAGCACCAGCAGGAGCAGCAATAGCACTAGCAACCGCAGCAGCAGCAGCAGCAGCAGCAGCAGCAGCAGGAAGATGTGCGTACCTGAAGGGCAACAAGTGGAGATATAGCGGTAACTCCTGCTGCAGCAGCAGCAGCAGCAGCAGCATTTGTTGTGGGGTGTATAGACAGCGCGAGCTCGCCTAGCAGAGCCTCAACGCGGGCCTTAGTATGTAGTGCTGCTACCAGCCCCAGACAGCAGCGGCAGAGAGCTGCTGCTGCTGCTCCTGCTGCTGCTGCTGCTGCTGCTGCTAAACTCTTCAGCAGCGTTGCCTGCAGCTGCGGCAGCAAAGCCTTCACATGCACGCCAGCACGCAGCAGCAACGCCCTGCAGCAGCAGCAGCAGCAGCAGCAGCAGCAGCAAAAGAAGAAACAGCAGAAGCAGGAGCGTGAGGAGCAGCAGCAGCAACAGCAGCAGCAGTAGCAGCAGCAACAACAGCAGAAGCAGAAGGCACCTACTGTAAGAGCAGAGAAAACGAAAAAGAAAAACAAATAAAAACAAAGACAAAGACAAATAAAAAAATAAATAAAGACAAAGTGCTCGCAGCAGCGCTGTCTTAATAAAAGTATAAATAAATAAATAAATAAATAAACAAATAAATAAATAAATAAATAAATAAAAAAACAAACAAACAAACAAACAAACAAACAAACAAATAAAAATAAAAATAAATAAAAATAAAAACAAACAAATAAAAAAATAAATAAAAATATATTACCTCAATGCCCGCAGCAGCGCTGTCTTTATCTTAATATAAACAAACAAACAAACAAACAAACAAACAAACAAACAAACAAACAAATAAAAAAACAAACAAACAAACAAATAAAAAAATAAATAAAAAATAAATAAATAAAAACATATTACCTCAATGCCCGCAGCAGCGCAGTCTTAATAAAAATATAAATAAATAAACAAACAAACAAACAAACAAACAAACAAACAAACAAAAAAACAAACAAACAAACAAACAAAACAAACAAACGAATAAAAATAAAAACAAACAAATAAAAAAATAAATAAAAATATATTACCTCAATGCCCGCAGCAGCGCAGTCTTAATCTTAATATAAATAAATAAATAAACAAACAAACAAACAAACAAATAAACAAATAAAAAAATAAATAAATAAATAAAATAAAAATATATTACCTCAATGCCCGCAGCAGCGCTGTCTTTATCTTAACATAAATAAACAAACAAACAAACAAACAAACAAACAAACAAAAATAAAAACAAATAAAAAAATAAAAAAATAAAAAAATAAATATATATATATATA